TCACAAAGGTTGGTCACAAAGGTTGGTCACAAAGGTTGGTCACAAAGGTTGCTCAGGGTTCTAAGTATGCCTATCCAACTGCTGGAGGTTCTAAGTATGGTACGTTTAGAACCATGTGTGCAGGTGTTTTTACTTGTTCGATGTGTTTTCCAAAAAAGGTTCTAAGTATGAGTCCGGCACTTTATATAGCTTCCCCGTGTCACTTTGGTGAACCCCTTCAAAACCGCCTCCCACCCACTTCTCACCCTAGCACCCCAATGTGAAACCCGGCTCAAGACCACTTGGAAGTCATCACTGATCGCTCTAGCACTCCACTGGGCACCCCGGCTGCGCCACCCAGCACAGCCCATTTTCTCGGCTTGGGTCCTGCAAGGGCCTTGGTGGCGCCAGAGGGAGGAGGATTCGACAAATCCGCTGCCGAGGGTAGAAATCCGGTTGTGCGGTTAGGCGGTTAGAGGCAGGAATACTGGATACTGATGGTATGGGTCTCCACTCACCGAATCACGGGAGAGAACAAGAACTGTTCCATTGCGGTGGTGAGAACTACCCCGAAGGCAGTGACCCTGCCAAATGTCACCTACTTCTTCGCAGTTCTGGGTGCTTTGCCCATTTCGCTCAGCGTTCATGCACTGCCATGGACCAGACGAAGAAACCAATGCTAGCATAGGATAAAAGGCGAATTGCTCCATCTATCAAAGCGATAAAGTGAGAGTCATCCATCTATCGCCACAAATGTTTGAGGTCAACCCATCTATCACCTAACGCCCCACGGAGATCATTTAGGTGAAACTCATCGTGGCTTCGATCCACCTCGTGGTGAGGGCTTTCAGCGGATGGAATGAAAAATGAGAGGCTCGAAGTCGTCCGTTGAAAACCGTTGAAAACGCATGTTCTTTCAGATCTATACTGACCAGGGACCAGGAGTCCTTCTTGCTACGAGCGACCGGGGATCTGGAAGTGAAGCAAAAGTTGAGGACCTTTGATCGAAAGACCCGCTGCTATAACAAAGGCAAATACTGAACCGGGGAGGCCCTCCAAATCGAGCGCGTGAAAGAAAGATCGACCAAAACCCAGCTGCGTCCGAAGGTCAGGCGAGTGTGTTTTTTTGACACGTCCGGTCGTTCGTCCGGTCGATCGTGCCCCTCGTCTCAACCCAAGGAGCTCCCAGACACCTTCCTGGGCGCTTCCCGATCGGGAATGGGTTTCACCATGAGACATCTTCGGTTGAGCACGTTGCTCCTAAGGTTGATTCTATCCTCACACACCCCTTACAGGGCTGCTCAAGCGCTAAAAAGAAAAGACCTGCGAATGTTGGCTTCTGGACACCTTGCTGCGGTTGCTGGCAGAACTGAGTTGCTCAAGGGAGAATTCCTCTACTTGTGTTCCATGTTGCAATAAGCACCTCAGCCAAAAAGTGACGCGCGAGACAGACATGTAGCGCTGCCAAACAGACATGAAGCTTCAGGTGTTTGGGTGGCACTTCCGGTTTACTGGGCCATGAATCCATGCATTGCTGCGAGAAGTGTGGGTGCAACTTCTCTATGAACAGTAAGGTGGATGGTGGATGGTGGCTACCCTGGTGGCTGCTGGCCAAAAGGTTGAGTATACAGCGTATACGGTCTCCATGTCCCAGCTTTTTGCGGGGTCCACACAATCCGTCGGAGCCATCAACAGGATGGAGAGGCTGGGACGTCCCAGAGGCACGAAGTCAGACACCCCACGGAAGCTGTAACAACACCCAAAACAACTGCAAACATACAGGTTTATGTGGCTTGGATGTGCTTCGGTTCGAAAATGACGTCCACTGAAATCAAAAAGAACGTGGCCTTCCAGAGCTCAAGTTTGGTGTAGAAAAAAGGTATTTGCAGAAACACGATGGTGGAAAAGCATTTGTATTGATTGAATCCTGCCAAGAGGAAAACCCATCGACACAAAGTAAAAAGGGCCTCTGACCAAGTTGTAGTCATTCAATCTTGAGGAATTGCTTTCAAGCATCTTCTTTCGCATCGCCGAGTCTGTCTCTATACCGAGATCCAGTGTCTTTGACACTGGGGCAGCTGGGGCTCATAAGGCTGTGGCGAAACGGAGTCGAATTCTGGGAGTGGTTCTGCAGTTGCTAGAGCTCACAGACCCAATGGTCACAAAGAAATAAGGCTTCCTTGTTCACTCGTTCTGCAAGTTGCAGATTCCTTGCTGCAGAAATCGGTGCTTGACATGAGTCTAGGCAGTCCATAGGGTAGGGAGTGGTCCAACAGGAGCCACCCAGAGGGTCCCTTTCGCCACCGGAGTGGGTCCACCTTGTTGAACACCCTGGCGTCGCTTTGGGTCGGCGAACACCACCGTGACCCATGTTTTAATGAGCCAAGGGGAGCTGACCATGCCGGTCTCCCAAAAGCATATCACTTTATGTGCCTAGAAAATCAGCTGTCCACCTGCTAGGGAAATGACCTCGAGATTGATGGAACTGGAAGTGGAAGGATATGAAAAAGTGAATCGCTTCCAAAGAACCTTGGAAGATCACTATAATATATATATATATAGTTTCTCTGCTTGGGGATCACTATAGTTGCTCATCAGGCCTGATGATTCTGTTTCCCAAGGCTGCAGAATTAACCCCTTCAGTGGAGCGCCTGCTTGAAAGTGGAGAACTGATCTTCCCGGCAAGGTCCAGCTCTGTCAAAATATCACTAAACATCTTCAATGTAGCTAAGCAAACGCTTTTACGCGCTGTTCATGCAACTGCCTGGCCACAAAAAGAATGGATGATAAAATCTTGAACATGGAAGAAACCAGAAACCGATCGAACTGGTGTCACCGTCGAAGCGTCACATCTTCCATGTCGCAGCCAGCGCGAACAGCAGACAGCGACTCCGCAGCGTTTTGCGGCGCTCGGATCAGGCGCTCTTTTTAAAAGAACTGCGGATCAGAGCGATCTTCCGGACAGCAGGGCCCCTCCTGGGCTCGCGGCAAGTCTGTGTCGCTCGGCCAGCCTTTTGGGCTCTTATAGATGGTGAGTCTCCAATGACTGCAACCCATTCAACTCATTGTCTTCTCGCTTTCTCTTCTCGATCCAGCAGTTTGGTGTCGGAGGTGTCTCGTAGAAAAACCTGAAAAGCTGCTGCCGTCCTGTATGCGGGGAATTGGGGAGGTGTGCTAGGTGGTGCAGCAGAAGTCATATGGAAGCCCAAACCTTGAGTCAAGTGCACACACAAAGTAACACAACTCTATCCTATCTCTTCCTGCATGCTGTCCAAGTCCAAAAAGGGGAACTTCCACTCCCTCGTTCGTTTCTGGTCAGATTCGATAGGCCAAGGGCCAAATAGATTCTGACATCATCTGAATCTGGCTGTGGCTTCAGCACGCAGGGAAAAAACAAGGCACCCCGCCAACACCCCCAGATTCATCAATCACGCTAAAGTTATTTCCACCACAGCCACCTAAGTATCAGGATCTAGCGATCGTCAAGGCAAATTCCTCGCCCATGTGAAAAAGAAAACATCCAGCCAAATCCACGTCAAGAGAGCACTCCAGGCTCCCTGAGTAAACACAGAGCAGTTAACTTGGTGAATGAGACTTTCGTTGGAACGCACAAAAAAAAAATGAAAATCTGGACAGAGGGCATCTGCCGCGTTGAAGACATAGCTTCTCTCGTTCCATGTTCAAGAAAAACAAAGAAATCAGCAAAATGCTACCAAATCCCTGTACAAAGATCCATGACTATTCTGACCATCCATACAAGCACCCCAGTTCTCCAAAAAGTCATCTTCACATGTCACTTCTGTTTACAATTGACCAGAGCTGCAGGAACGTCCATGCTGGTGCCCCACTCCCTCTCCACAGATCCGAACGACCGTTCGCTGAAACGCGGCCACAGGGTCAGGGCCACCCTCTTCACGGACAACGGAGACGGAAGAAGCTCCTCTCAGCCCCACCAAGTGCGTGTCTTCATCTCGTTGCAGGAATCCGTGGTGTTGAGACCGATGGCCTAGACAGCGGTCGACGCGGTCGCCCGAGCTCGGCCACGCCCGAGCGCGGCGGCATCGCGACAGGGAACTTCCACATGACACTTGGCAGAGTGGCACCCATCAATGCTGACGAAGACTTTGTAGAAAGATCGATATTGTCATCTTTCAAGAGCTAACCCCAAGAATCTGTTCAGAAACTTGGTGTCCAGGACATCCTAAGAGTGATGTTGTTCTATCGGAACCAAGTACAATACCCACAACTCCAAAAGCTTCCTGTATGTAGCTCCTGCTGTCCGAGCTGTTTTCTATCAGAGAGGTGTCTCCGTATCCAGGGGTTGACCACAGGATCCTCATCTGGCACCTGAGGCAAAAAGTGCTTGCCTCATTCACGAGAGACAATTTCTATGCATCTCACAAAGAATCCACTCCAGCTGTTTGCCCCCCAAAACAAAGAACTGACCGCCAAACGGTCGCGCCTTGAGCGTTGCGCTCCAGGACGTGTCCCAGCAACCATAGATCTGCATGGGCGTGATCGGATCGATCAACCTCGGATCAATGCGAGCGATCAAAGCAGCGCGATCGAAGACGAGGGATCGAAAAGGACAAACACCCCGCGTGAGAGCCATGGACCTCCGAAACATGCCATCACTGTGGTCAACCCACCAAAGAGGATCTTTTTTGGGAGGGCTGTTTGTTCATTTTCGATGTTTGATTGAAGCTCAGGTCAACCTTGGCTGGTTTTTTGGTCCCTGGAGCTCCTCGCCAGGAAGATCGTCGGGATGGATGGGTCCAACACAAATCGATTCGGAAAGAAGCAGATGAGATTGAATGCTTCTTTGGAGCCCACAATGCTCATCTGTTTCACGAAGTTGGCTCTTATAGTGGTCAGTTTGGGGTGACGGTGACGGTCTTCATTCCAGATTGCCATCGGTGAAACTACCAGGAACGGCGAAGGGCTGAGGTCATGGCACCGATACATTGCCAGACCACAGACATGCTATGCCAAAACCCTAACTTGTTTGTGGTCAAAGCTATATAGTGCATTGAGAGTAGATGGCACAATTCCCAGGTTTGGTGGTCTTTATGGACCCCGATCTAAAAGTCATCTTGGGGTGCCAGTGCCATCTACTCTGAAACCACTGTATATACTGTGCCCCGCCATGCCCAACTCATATCCAAGCGTCGCTGCTCTCGAGTCGTGTGTAAACTTCAAGAGGAGCAATGGCCCCTCCGTGAGCTCTTTGACCTCGTAACGGACGCGAGGAAGCCACGACGGGACATGCCGACGGACGCAACGGGAACGCTTCCCGGAACGCGGTGGAACATCCGCGTTCGCTTGCCGGTTCTCGTAGAACAGGCCTGAGGGTGGGGGGCTTTCTCTAATTGCAAGCCCCTGCAGAGCTCCCCAACACTGCTCCAGCTCACCCACACTGAGCTTCAGTGAATGAACTGGAGCAGATCGGTGTAAACTGCTACCAATTTTGCAAGAGGGTACATCCTAGATGATTTGGGGAGCTTAAATCTTATGGAGCATCGCATACCCAGCAAGTTGAGGCCTGCAATGGCATGGACAGAAAGCAAGACCTCCCTAAAACCCCTACTATGCCAGGGAGAAGGGCGTTCGTGGAAATCGGTGTTCAAATTCTTCAGGAGGCCGCTTATATAATAAGTAACTCAGAAAAAGAACTGCAGCTGAATCCAACCCTTTTTCCCAACTCCCAAATAAGGCGTACCCTCGAACACCGGTCGCTCCGGATCGGTTTCGTCCACGCGGCCACGTAAGGCTGATGGGTGTAGAACAAATCCTCGGTGACGCCACCGGAGCGGCCGGTCCGTCGGAGCGAAAACGGAGCGTCCGTCGACGCGGCGGAAGCCGGAGATGTGTGTTTGGAGGGCCCAAACGGGACGTTTCATTCAATGGGTCGATTTCGGAACTCCCCACTGGTCCTGCTTGCTATGTGACTGTGCCAGCAAATGTCCGGCACAAGAATCCAAAGCACACGCCATGCCCTTGATTTCACCGGCACAGGTTGTAGAGAAGGGTTGTGAAGAGGAGATGGGCCAGAATGACAAAACATGCAAACACCCAAACATAAAGTGTCATTCAGGTGAGTGACTTATGGCATGAAAGAAAACCATTGGATGCAGGTTCTGGTGCAGTAAAACCGAATCATGTGGATCTGGATGAAAATGAATCTTCTCAGCGATGTCTTGCGCGAAACTGTGCGAACGGAAAGCAAAATGGATGGAAAATGATCGAGGCAAGCACAGAAGCAAAGACTTCAGGAAGAAGATGCCAGGCGGGGTTGGAGTTGTGACAAACGTTAGCCTTTTCGCCAAATGTGTAGGACAAGGAAGAATGGGCCTTGCTGTTCCGGGACATACTGTGGCCATCAGGAGAAAATATCTTCAATTTCGTTGTAAGCTTCCAATGCAATGGGGAGGAGCATCTTCAACAGCTTTCAGGGTGGTATCTGGAGCTTGTTTGGTGCTGTCGGATCTGCACATATACATATACATATATTCACGGGCCACGGAGAGGGAGGTGCAGGCAATATCAACATCAGCGGATGGGGGGTGTAGAATTAGTGATTTTTAACATGGATATAAGATAGATGCACTGATTTTTGCTTGGCCTGATCCAAAGGGTTTGGCTTTCCTCCATGAAGACTCTCCATCCAAAGCCCCAAAGCCCAAGCATCCACCAAGACCTGATGCGTGTTGCCATAGCCAAACCTCGGACAGGTTTACGCGAGGCCGGCGATTCCCAGCTGGGGGAAAGAAGGCTACACCGAGCGGGATTGTGGTCGATGCTCCGTCTTTTTTACCTGAGTTGTTTCTTTGACATAAAACACCCAATGGTATTTAGACTCTTGCCATCGATAACTGGAGAAAACTTGCCCTTGCCCCTGGAAATCTGTGACATCACAAGTCGAAGGGGGAGGTATCCTGACTTGGAGGTGACAAGCCACTGCTCAACAACCATTTTGAATCACAGCTTCACTGCAAACCGGAACCTCTGCACTCCACAAATTCCACCCATCCAATCTGATATCAAAGCAGCTTTCCCAGTGTCCAACATCCAATGGGGGGGTTCTTGTAAATGCGAGACGCCCTCCTTCTACTCCAACGGACGGACTTGGCCAACTCCAACGTCCAAAGCATCCGTCCCAAAGACGTCCCCTCTGAGGTGGACACCAGGCTTCACTGAGATGTCCTGAACCGGTCGGTGCGGTGAACCGTGCTGTCGGTCGGTGCGCTTCAAAACGAAAAGCCTTTTCCAGTGAGGTTTGAAGGCAACAAACAAAACTCAAGGCGCTGTTGCGAAGCTCTGATGGCTATATGCAGAACTGTTGCAAATCAGTGGAAGAAAAAGTAAAGAAAAACATCTCCTCGAGATGCACTCGAGATGCACCCAGGACGGACTCAGATGCTCCTTTTCAGGAAGGGTCCGAAGTCTTGGCTTTTTGGACAAACTCAACCCTCAAGGAGCCAAACCGAGCCCTGCCAAGAGGTTCTTGGCGGCGAGGTCGGTCTTGTTTGGTCACCGAGTCACTGAAAACCAAGTCCCATCCATGGAAGGACAGACTATGCTTCGATGGGTGCGTGCTTCGACCTGGTTGATGGATTTTAATGGGCAGACCACTGGACCTGGTTGAGTCCCTTCTTCCACAGGGGTCGACCAAGACACACCCAGTTGAAGTCTCCAGAGGCCAAGTGTGCACACCGCTTCTTGCAAGGCCGAGTCTCCCATGAAATTCGAGCGGTGCACCGAAGGGCTGAGCCACCACCGCGTGATTTCCCGATCCTCGCAACAAGAGGTTCGTAGCACGCGGTTCGGCGAAGAAGTCCAGCTTCACCAGGTGCACCAACCGGTTGCAACACCCATCATGTGGCTGTGGGTCAAACACTCCGGGAAAAAGAAAATACCCTGGTTGACCAAAATACCCTGGTTGACCACTCATTAAAAAAGCCGTGCGCAAGAGTTCGGCGCCACCCAACAGCCCTTCCCTTGCAGGGGTACTGGGGTGTTGGTATGTATGAGCAAAACATCAAACTACGCGCCCATTCACATGGATCCCTGAGAAGAGAATGCCGCAACAAAAAGCAGGCCACCGCACAACCTGACCAAACACACCACCAAAAACAGACGACCAAAAAACACAAATGGACGGATAGACTGGTATGGAGGTCAAACTACCAGGTTATCAGGGCTCGAACTCGCGGGCGAACGCGGTCTATACACCCCTTGCTCTTGTGAGCGGGTATGAAAGACGGTGTGAAAATGAATGAAACAAAGCAACCGCGTATGTACACACACAAATATGTACCAGGGATTAGGGCTCCAGGTTTTGGCCCACAGCCATGTATATGTATGTATACATGATGAGTATATTAAAATCTGAGAGACATCCCAACACTTCTTGGGTGATGGATATTGATGGATCATCAAACCCAGGAGTTGCACACATCCTTCAAGCCTTCAAGCCCAGGGAGGAACAATAGCCAGCGCTTTGAGAGCTGAATACTCTTCACAAAGAGTATTCAGTTCACAAACATGGTTTGCATCCCTGAACTGTTTCCGAAACTGCTTTTCTCTGCATGTTGTGCCCAAATCTGTTGTTTCCTCCTCCCCCATTCCTTTGCCGCTCGGCCAGTTCTGAACACACCTCGCCCCAAGGCTCATCATCCAGGACCTTGAAAAAACAGGCGCTGGTGGCCACGTACTTCCACAAGCCCAAGCCGTCCAAGTCCCCCATCTGCCTCGCTTTCGTCCAGTTCGTCTCGTCCAGCAACGTGGGTCCGGTCGACGGGTGGGAGTGGAGAACAGCGCGGAGATTGTTTGGGCCGGAAATGAAGTGCAACATATGATCCGTGGTGGGTTGGTTCTTTCGCTCTCCAAACCGATGACATGACAACGACATGGATGTGGGTCAAAACCAACACCCACATCACACCAGCGCTAAGAAAAGACCGAGCCAGTTCGCCGTGCCCGAGCCACCGACGGCCCCCAGGTTGCAGTGGTCATCCACTCACCTCTCTTCCCTCCATTCACTTCATCTACGTTCATTCACTTCACCCAATCATGTCAACTAGATTGGTGCATCTTGTGGGTAATTACACCGGCACAAACCCCAGATAGCGGGTGTGTAGGTTTGTCATTTCTGTGTCATTTCTGGCATGACACGATGTCATCGATGGGCATGACATGATGTCATCCCTCCTGACATGATGCTATCCCTGCACAAGCACCAGCACGGCAGCAGCACCCGCAAAACGAAACGCCGATCCAGAGCCAGCGCCTGCACCAGCATCAGCACGGCAACAGCACCGGCAAAACAAAGCGCCGATCCAGCACCAGCACCAGCACCAGCACGGCAGCAGCACCCGCAAAACCAAAACGCCGATCCAGAGCCAGCACCATTTGAGAAGCTAGAAACCCTTATAGCTTGCAGCTATCTGGGAAAAAATGTGTAAAGATAGCAGTCATGCGGTCGCCTTCGGTTCGGCATCTTCGACCCAACGAACCCGACGGTGCTCGGTCCAAACCGCGGTCCAACTCTGCTCTGTCCACCGCCGTCGCTGACCGCGGTCGCTAACCCCATGGGCGTTCGATGGCTAAAATTAGACAAATCACTACACTCATCCATACTACCGTTAACCTACTGATGGCCTTTCTGACATAGAAGCGACGTCTTTTTCCCAGAAAGACCCTTTGCCTCCAGTCACCAGCTACCGCAGACACGGAATCCGGAGTCTCCGGGTTCAATTCCGGGTTCGTGGGAGTCGCCCAAGGGTTTTGGGCAACATGCAAAGACTGAACATGGAAGCTGAAAGCCACTGTGGTTTGCTTCCAAATTACGTCTTGAAAAAGGGTCTATTGTCCCTGAGAAGCGGAGATGAATTCATTGGAGGGGACCCTTAATCTTGCTCGCGCTTGCCCAAATCATCTTGACGCATGACCGGACGACCGCACCATGAAGCCACCTCTTGGTGAAGAGCCAGGGGTAGGTAGACAACTCCTTCACGTCCGTGTACTTATGCAATTCCCTGGGCCACGGATCGGCGCCAAGTGATGGAGACTCAGCTGGCGCAACACCCTAGCCGGAGACATGGCCGGCAAAGCGCCGAGGAGACAAACCGAAAATCGACAAAGCTGACCCCCAATTCGACCTGCAAAGAATGGGATCGTTTTGAGTTCAGGCCCAAGAATTGGTCGACGCACCCACATGCTTTTGAGGGCCAATGGAGCCAACCAGCCTCTACAGGTCGGCCGTTGCGCCTCGTCGCTGCGTGTACCTTGACCGGGAACCCCTGACTATACATACAGGCCGTGTCACGTTCATAACCCGTCCCATCTGCTCCAGCGCCCCGTGCCTCACACAATCCATGCTGCGGACCATGAACGGATCCTGCATGACCAGAAGGACAGACGCGGTGATCCACCCATCTGACCGCAGAGTACAGACAAAGCACGTATAGAAGAACAAAGGAACCTTTCGAGAAGAAAGGACCCTGAAAATACCCTTTTTCAAGGCTAGATGACTGAGACTCGTTTTGGTTTTTGTGGGCGCCAGGCATGTGCCACATCGTCGAGCTAGAACTAGCCTCCGAACATCTCCGAACCTTCTGCGCTCACCCCCCAAAACCTTCGTTTGGGGTGGTGTAACAGAGAAGTCTTCGATGGGCTAGCCTTGCTGCAATGGCAGAAAGGAGAAAAACATCTCTGGGAGAAGAGTTTGGTCCCTTTACGAGTTTCATCAAGGTGGCCGCGTGACATGTTCCGCTCAAGACGGCCGCGTATCACTAACAATGCTTGTAGAAAAAGGATCTCGCGGCTAACAAGAAAACACCAGTTGGGTCGGAACACGGCCGTTCTGGCCTAATGGCTTGGACGTGCACTTTAAATTGTATGAGTTGAGATTTTGTGATTGGCAAAAGAAATGAGCTCACATTGGAAAGGTCATTGCTCATGTAAGATGTGTGAAACATATATATAACTTTATATATTGCATATTACTCTTCAATACTAGTGTATCCAAGGTATCAACGGCCTTCCAAGGAGCGACAGTGACCAGTACAATCTTTCTTCAGCACAATCCGAGGTTTCCTTCAACAAGTGCTGAAGAAAGAATGCTGAATTTGGGACTCAACAAGTGCTCCTGCGGTGGTGCTGCCATGAACCAGTTCTCCACATGAAAGTCGGTGCTGTAGCGGCTGTACCTCCCAAGACCGTCAGTGACTCAGCCGGAATCGAACGCTCTGTAACGGAGCTCCATCCGAATCCCCATGTGTTCCAACAACCTGGCCGGAGCCCACTGGTTTGGTCATGAATCTGTTCCATCGAGCTTTTCAGGGATGCACAGCAGGCCTGCGTAGAGTTGGACATAAGCATGGCTTGACCCCAGGAACAGCATATATAATACCCTGAGATATTCACCGTTCACCTTGGTTTGAGGTAGGTAACGTAGGTCTTGACCCACATGGCCTCAGAACACTAGGCCTGAGACATGGGCCAAAACCAGTGACTCTGCATCATAACCTTTTAGGGTCAAAAATACTGAGCCAACAAGACACACAGTCAGGGAACTGAGCTCGTTTCGAAGCCACTGACTTTCGAACTGGCATCTGTACATGTTAGAAGAAGTGCAAAGACCTGTAACCGACTAGTTGGTTGGGCATTTTGTCAGATTGCCTTGTCCAAAGGTAGAACCAACACCACAAAAATCCTACAGTGAACGGGGTTCCACCCATGCCTCGGCTTGAAACTTCCCATGCCTCAGCTTATGAAAGAAATGCCTTGTTTTACGTTGTCTTTTCTTAGACCGTTTTTTGTTCCCCTTTTCTTCACAGCTTCACCAACCATCGTTCTGTGGCTCCAACAGGATCAGCGACCGACTTCCTCTCCTTATTGTATGGGCCTTTCTGTATGCAAACGGGTAACACATACCCATGCATCCGTATTCAAATATGTATATATGATATGATATATGTTTCCAGAATGTTGAGAAGTTGGACAGGCTTGCTGCGGGCTTGGCCACTTTCTATCCTTTGGGGCACACGGTGAGCTATCCAAGATGAGAGTCCTGCTCTTGAAATAAGGGAATTCAGTTTGCAAATGGTTCGTGGCAGGAGAAAGTCCATGAGTTGCCTCTGATGCGCAGATTCAAAAGAGTCGGTCTGCTGCTCCGTGTTCTGGTCGAGTCAGCACTCCACCGGACCCTTGCGCCGCTTGACGTCGCCCCTTGGCCGTCGCGTGTCGCGTTTCGCCTGCGCCGCTTCTCTGCGCGGTGTCTCGCGCCTGGTCTTGATGGTGGGCATGTTCGGGGTGCCACCATTGACATAGAAGTGTCTCAGGGATGGCTGGTCTTCCTGCGCTTCGTGAATGGGTCGCAACCGAGGACACTCTTCACGAATGTTGCCGGACACTCTTCAGGTGGGGCTTCTGAAAGTCTCGGGTCAATGGGATCTGGAAAAGCCTGCCCTCTCTCTCCACAAAACAGGAGGTTTTGAGGCACAAATATGTGTGCCGAACAGTCCCAGTCCTTCTATTTCGATGAGCTGCCGACACATTCATGCTTTCGTAATCCAGAGTCTACTACTGAGCATTAGCATTTTTGATGGCGAGCAAAAAGGGGGTGTCCCCAAATATCATCATATAACAATATATATGTAACTGTATTGTAGTGTAGGTAGTTGATTGAGAAATACCGGATGCAAGGGTCCTAACTTTGTAGTCGGTCACCCACTTTCTGCATCCGCAATTCTCCAAAGAGTCACCAACAGCTCTGTGCTGTCACTAGCCATCACCAGTCACCCACCAAAACCTGTTTTCTGACACCCGCCAGGACCTTGATCACGGAATCCAGCGGTTTGAGAAGCAAAATCGTCGCATCGATCCAGACGCCCCCATACTTCACCTCGGCGAGTCAGGGCCGGTGCGGCAAAGTCGGCACCAGGTTCAGCTCTGACTGGTGGTTGGGTGAAAAGCCGTGGTGAGAGTCACGTCCCCACCAAAAAATGATTCTACGAGTCGGTCGCAATCACCTTTGGCATGAAGCCGACATCGAACAGCATGTGGGATCACATTCGCTGGTCGGCCTCCTTTTGCCATCGCTCGGTGCTTTGCCAAATCCCGGTCACAAGGCCGATTGGGACGCCGGGGACGTACTCGAGAGAAAACAAATCTTGGTCGCAAGATAATTACAAAGGAAGCCAATCTTATAAGCGGTCCAAATCCTCGCAATGTGGTGCTACATCTTGTTTTCAACAGTGTGAAACACCCGTTGACTGCTCCGAACCCCGTGGTATTTCTTCGGTTTGAAAAAAGCTATTAAAGGACCCCTGCCGTCGTTTTTAGCCAGGCCGCAATCAGTGCTAAGCGGATGGCATCCGATCGGTGCTGAATCATGAGGTTGTCAAATCCTCCAATCGCTGTGATCAGACGCGCGGATCGCACCGTCCCTGATCGAAAGTTTCAGAACGCAGCAAGTTTTAGGTCGGCTGGTCGGCCCCTTTTCGAGTGGTTTTCGTCGGGTCCATTGATACAAGCCCGGATGGAGAAAGCAAATAGCCTTTCCTCACCCAACCTGTCCTGGGGTTCAGGGTCTCATACGGAAACCCAAGCTGTTTCTTGTCGGCAAATAGCAGAGTCTCATGGCTGGCCTTCGTTGCCCACGGTTTAAACTTTTGGGTCTCAGAGCACGATCGCTTGCTACTCTAGTTCCAGCGAAAAGGGGTCTCGGAGGCTCGGAGGCTCCACAAGTCGTTGGTCCTGGTTTGGAGCGCTGAAACACAGAGGGCGGACCCGAGTGCAGGCCGCAGCCACCAAGGGTTTGAAGCATGCGAAATGGGGGAAAGTGACCCTGTAGACGAACATGATCAACATGTCGGAGGCATCTTCGTCTGGAGAGACCGAGGGTCGTGCATGGGATGATTCCGTGTTCCGCTCCGTAGTCTTAAAGATAATGTGACAATAATGTGCTGTGTGTGGTGTGCTTAGCATGTTGTTCTGCTGCATTGCTGTTCATGGGTTTCTTGTGGCTTCACCGACCGCACCTGCAGACGCTCTAAAGTGGAGCCAGGTTGATAGAGAAAAAGGGACAAGCAAGCTCACTGTTTTGGATTTGTCACGTGTCGGTATTCCATCCTGTCTTGGGTGGGACCGGTCCGGGGAGGGCCTGGGGCTGTCCTCGGTCCCTGGGTGGAAGCCGCTGGCTTCAACATAGAGGGTGATCAGCACACCCCTACTAGTCTTTTCTCGATCTGTTCAGCCTGTCAATGCGGCCTTGCAGGGCCACAAGCGGCCTTGCCACCGAGGACTCAACAATTACACCACTCTTTGGTGGCCTTTCTTGGACGCAATGGACAAAGCACTCTGGCCAGATTCTTGTCAGCTCCGGCCTCGAGCAAAAACGGCACAACACATGTAACACAAGGGTTGCCATGCAAAGCTCCTTTAAAAAGAGACGTGCCCCCGCTTGAAAATGCCGCGTTCTTGTCAGCAATGCATAACCGCCAGCCGGCCACGGTCAGCTGCAACAAACAACTCACCTGTGCCACTTGCTGCTGCTGTACTCATGTCAGCTCTAGCCTCAAGCAACAATTGCACAACGTCCAAGTGCCCTTGCTGCAATGCAATGCCGCAAACCCATCTGGTGTTGTTTCCAAAAACTTCCAAGTGGCCCTTGAGAGCTGCAATTATCAAAGCTGTGCTTCCATCTGGTCTTGCCGCTCGTCAGCTCCAGCCTCCAGCAGCAATCTCACTACTTCCAAGTGACCTTCTCCAGCTCCAATGTGCAATGCTGTAAGAAGTTCATTTGAGCTCCAGCCTTCAGCAGCAACCGCTCAACTTCCAGGTTGTTATGCATAGCTGCCTGTGTAAGGCTGTTACTGTTGCCCCATCGGCTTTTCAGCATCTTTGTCAGCTCCAGCCTTGAGCAACAAATGCAACACTTGCAAATGGCCATTCTCAGCTGCGGGGTGCAAAGCTGTTGCCCCTACACGCCTCTCAAAACATGACTGTGCTGCATTCTTGTCAGCCCTTGCCTCTAATCTAACAACAACCGCACAACTGCCAATTGGCCATTATGAGGTGCAACATGCAAAGATGTTGCCCCACTTCTCGTTGCCTTGTTCCTGTCAGCTCCAGCCTCAGTCCACGCACAACCTTGCAGTGGCCTCTCTCGGCTGCAATCAGGATGGCCGTTGCGCCAACAGAAAGTTGCGTATTCTTGGGTGCTCGGGCCTCGAGTAACAATTGCACAACTTCCAGGTAGCCACGACAAAGCTTCCACATGAATTGGTGAAGGGTTGTTGTGGAAACAAATCCCGTTGAGGTTCTGAGGCATTTGAAGCAAACGTTCAAGCCTATGCTGCTGACATGCAACAACCAACGACTCCCAAATAGCATCATCAAAAGGACAGAAGTCAAGGATTGCCAACTGCACACTTGATACTTGTCTTACAGGCACATCATCTTGCAGCTTGCCATTGTCTTCAGTGTAGAGTCTTTGCTGGAACCTTCAGGTCCCTAATCTTTTTGCCATCATTCAAATAGGCGATGTCTGATGTTAGCTAGCACCTGAAAGAGCTTTGATCTCCATAACTCAAAGCAGTTCTGAGAATCCACGCTAAGAGAAGATCAAATACAGTAAGTCTACGAGGTCTAGCTAGCCTAGCTCTGATCGGTGGTTGAGCCGTAACACGACCTGCTGTTCTTCACATGAAAGATTCCTGCCACATGTGTCGGTGACGGCCTTCGTCTCCCCTTCCACCGGCCCAAGCGGCACCCAAAGGCCATCAGAAACCACCCTCACCTTCCACCAGCCGGGAAACGAGTGAACCCTCTCCCCCTCACCACCGCTCCTTCGGGCAAGTCTTTCTTCGAGATGTAGTCCCACACGGTGTACTGACGCGCCCGAGACGGAGCATGTTAGAGAGGCCGCTGGCTGTTTGAACAGCTAGATGCCGTGACTGTGCTATGACGTACTGTTACAAAATTAGATGGATGGATGGATGGATGGATGGATGGATGGATGGATGGATGGAT